GAAAACGATTTGTTTGAGGGAACGGTAGAATGGCAGCCATCTACCCTCTCGGTGGCTTGCCGGAATCGTTTCCCTTCTGATCCGGGCGATTTCCAACTTGGCGCAACTCTTCGCTCCAGAAGACGCATCTTGTCTTGCCCGTGCAGGTATGGGCTTCCTTGCCAAATTTCCGATGGAAGTTGCAAACTTTTTTGTCCATTTTTCCTTTTGCTTGAAACGCTCCGACGACTTGAGCGTCGAGGTTCGCACGCTGAGAAAGGGAGTCCGCTTCTTTCAAGAGGTCGGCCAGCGAGGCTTTCTCGAAATTTGAGCCGGACAGCTGGAGACGAACAGCTGACGGTGCATGGCGAAGAAGGCAGAATTTGAAGAAGTCATCGAGCGACAGATCCTCGACGATCGATTCCACCCTCGCGTTAAACATCGATAGTTTTTCGTCCGGGCCGGGAGAGGCTTCCAGGTACGCCTTGACCCTATCATACTTGGATAAAGAAAATTCTTTAATCAACAGATTTTTGGCGTCTTCATAGGCTGTCGGTGGCTTCGCTCTGGTGATGGCTCCAAGCAGGGAGGATGTCGAGTCATCCATGAGGCGGAGGAGGGCTGCGAATTTCTGTTCGGAAGTGTCGATCGATGAAGACATTAAAACGATTTCAAGTTGATCGAACCACAACTTCGGTTTTGCTTTGTCGAAAGCGCGAAATTCGAGTTTCGGAAGACGTTCTTTACGCGTCTCGCTTTGGGGAGGAGTTGTCGTCGGGCCCGCGGCAATGCTCAACGCTATCAGGATATCGTCGCACGCCATCGCCGTTTCGTTGTGCGCCTTTTTGACGCTGAAAAGTTTCTCCTCGGAACAAGCGGGAGAAGAAGACAACCATTCGATGTAAGCCTGCTTGTGATCATTGGCCAGAGGAAGAATGGCCGAGCTGAGGATCCTGGCAGTCTCTGCGGGACATGGGGCGGCGAGGTTGGTTCTTGCTGACTTGATGAGCGAATCAAGTCTTTCCGCGATGTTTTCGAAACTGTCCAAGAGGACTCGGTCGTCGATCTTCTTCGGGGGCATTGTGAAAAATGGTGAAGAAGATTCAGAAGGTTTTCCACGACGTCTGAAGAGGATTTAGTGGAAAAATAACGTGTAACCTGGTATTAGGATGATCCACGAAGACCAGGTACAGGCGGGGTCACCAAATGTGGGGTTCTGCACAAGAACTTGAACCCGACATAGACGACGAATCCAAGAAGAAACGGGAAGACGTCTGGAGCCAGGAATGATTGCTATAAGAGTGGAATGTATTGTCAAAGTCAGGGAGTTTGGACCTCTGACAGCAACTGTCATAAAGTAAGCACCTCTGATTGATGAAACAGAGCGTGAATGAAAGCATAGATATATATATATGGTATGGACTACCATATAACCCCCCCTAGTCGAGTCTAAACAGAATGAGACTACTCTATGGAGGGCGGAACTACTACCGGAAGTG